CCTCCGCCTCCTCCTCCTCCGCCTTCTCCTCCTCCTCCTCCGCCTCCTCCTCCTCCGCCTTCTCCTCCTCCTCCGCCTCCTCCTCCTCCTCCTCCTCCTCCTCCTCCTCCTCCTCCTCCTCCTCCTCCCCCGCCTCCTCTTCCGCCCCTTCCTCCTCCGCCTGCTCCTCCTCCGCACCCCCTTCCCCGAGACTTTTTCTCATCATTTCGGGTAACGGTCGTTAGTTGCCCGGGGAGGTAGCGGTTCCGCTTGGGCGGGCTGGGGCACGCAAGTAGGGGCGGAGGTGCGCTGCCATCGCCATAGTATGAGCGCGAGCACCAGCATGTGGGAGAGGGTCCAGCCCCCCCCCACGTACGATCGGCTACCTTTGCCCAAAGGGGGGGCCAGCCCAGGTAACCATCTGTGTTGCGCGCCAGAGGATTTCCCTTACTCCCCCGTCCCTGATCTCAGAGGACACACCGCCATCCCCAGACATCCGATATCTTGATTTCTTTAATTCGGGGAACCCGAACTCTCGATCTTTTCCCCGGGGCAGACTTTTCATCCTGGGTCTCTCTGTTCTACGCCCTGGGGCCAGGCGGGGCCCCCCCCAAAAGTCGAAGACAGTCTCTCGTGATTTGTGTCACGACGCCAGCATGTCTGGGTTCCACCTTGGGTGAACCAAGAGGTACCGACACCGCTACTCCCCGGACCTCTCCCTGTGTGCGTTCTGCCCAGAATCTGGAGGCGAATCAGGCCGTGGCGACGGTGTCTTATCCAGTTGCCACAAGAAAAAGGTGAAGCGACGGATGGGAAGCGGTGTCAGCACCTTCCCAGACGTGCCACGTCTTGATGTTTTCAGCACGCGGTCCTCGGAAGTCTCGACCCGTTTCCCGGGGCCGATTCTTCAACCAGGGTCCTCTCGACGGTCCCGGAGTGGGGCCCGCCGAAGGCCCCGGGGGGGGCCGAGAACGGCCAGAAACCTACCGTTCTGTTTTTTCGCGACTCCAGCAGGTATGGGCCTTCCTCCCCTAACCCCTCCCGCCCACGGTCCATGGTGCTGTGCCCTGAACGCAGCAGCTTCCACGGCCGCGGGAAGCCACCGCGCAGCGCGCGGAGCGACGAAACCCAGGGCACCCTGACGAAAAGCATGACTGCGGTTTCTTGATGCGCGTCCCCACTGTCCCTTTTCCTCCTCTCGGCTACACGCAAGAGCGACCCTAGGCAAGACTGACCTTTGGTGCGCGGATTCAGGGGGCGCAAGGTGGCCAAATCCAAGCGGGCAAGCCGCCACTATCGCATCGCGCGCAGCGATCGGTGGGGGCCCCAGTGGGCCCACACCAAAGGGGCACTCTGGCGAAGCGTCACTCTTACGTGTACAGTCGGGCCTAGGACAGAAGCACATCCTTCAAGAACACGAGCCCTCCAACGACCAAAACGCACAGAACATCCAAGGGTACCCTCCCCAGGATGCACCAGAACATCCAACGGTCACGAAGAATATGAGGGCATCCTCCCCGAACCGACCTCGATCTGATACCTCGGTCCGACTGTATCGCATCGCGCTCAGCGATCGGGGAGTGCCCCGTGAGCCCATACCAAAGGTCACTCTGGCGAGTGGTCACTCTTACGTGTAGTCGACCCCCGTCTCCCGAGACCCCTAGGCGCACGGGCAGACTGAGCAGTCGGCGGCGGCGGGACAAGGGCCTCCAGGAAAGAGCCTCGGGGGCCCGCCGCCCGCTCCACCGATGCCCCCCCTTCCCCCGCCCCACGGCCGGCCAGATCGCGGGGGAGAGGGGGGAAGGGGGGGGGGAGAACCGGGGGGGAGACGACGAGGGAGGCCCAGAGGAGGAGGAGGAGGAGGAGGAGGAGGAGGAGGAGGAGGAGGAGGAGGAGGAGGAGGAGAGGAGGAGGAGGAAGGAAGGAGGGGGAGGAGGGAGGAGGGGAGGAGGGAGAGGAGGAGGAGGAGGAGGAGGATGGAGGAGGGAGGAGGAGAGGAGGAGGAAGGATAGGAGGAGGAGGAGGAGGAGGAGGAGGAGGAGGAGGAGAGGAGGAGGAGGCGGAGAGGAGAGGAGGGAGGAGGAGGGAGGGGGAGGAGGAGGAGGAGGAGGAGGAGGAGAGGCCCTGAGGAGGCCCAGAAGGCATCGACGATCCCCCGACCCCCCGATCCCCGCCCCCGGTCCATGGTGTTGTACCCGATCATCTCGTCCGGGTCGAGGGCCTTGGCCGCCGGCCTCGCGGGCGGCGCCTCGGGCGACGGCGGGCGCACCTGTGCGCGCGGGGGGAGGGGCGCCCCTCCCCGGCGGCTCGGAGGCGGGGCCCTCGACTCTCCAGCGGCTCACTCCTGGCACCCGCCAGATCTATGATCGAAGGGGCTGCTGATGAGATATAGGGGGCCACAACCGCCCCCTGCCCCACCCCCAGCACCCGAACGACGGGGCTCGGAGGCGGGGTCCTCGATTCTCCAGTGGCTCACTCCTGGCACCCGCCAATCTATGATCGAAGAGGCTGCTGATGAGACATAGGGGACCACAGCCGCCCCCGGCCCCGCCCCCGGCACCCGAACGACGGAGCCACCCGGGCCGGGAACCGTCTTCCAGGCGCCAGGGATGGGGCGGGGCAGCTGTCACCCTCGGCCGAGCCTGTGCCACCACTCCGCGGGGCCCGACGCCCCTCCTCGAAAACAAGCGCAAGCTTTTCTCGCGACGTGGCGGCGCTCCGAGCACCCCAAGAGTTCACCGTTCGCGCCGACACTGGGCGACTGCGAACACAGAAATCTGACCCCGTGGGCCGCGTTTCGCGCATCAACCAGCACCAAAACGTGCGTTTGATTTCGAGAAGGGTTGCAAGGATAGAAGGGATCCAAGGGTGGACTTAATTACATGTCGGCGGCGAGCGAGGGGGGGACGTGAGAAGGAGGCGGCCTTCTCAGAAGGCGACGAGGTTTCTCAAAGGCGGCGGGGCTTCTAGAAGGCCTCCGACATTCTGAGAGGGGTTATGTGTCCTACAGCAAGGCTTAGGGAACCTCTCAGAAGGCGGGGGGACTTCCGAGCCTTCTGAGCAGGCCCGCCACCTCGAACGCCTGGTGATTCTTGGGCCATAACTCGGCTCTCCCGCGGCCGTTCGGGACGATCCGGGCACCCCGGGAACGCTCTCGGCGAGGCGCATCTGCTGGAAGGCACCACGAGGCGAGAATGTCCGAGAGCGAACGAAAACCTTCCGAACCCCTGGAGAACCGACGAAACTTCCCCAGTCTTCGAACCAGGGCTCGAGCTAAACAATGCTTTTCGCTTTCGCTCTGTCTTCCTTCTCCTTCGCCCTATCTTTCTTCTGCCCTGGCTGCGAAACGGAATGAAAACGAAAACGGTGAACGAAATCGCCAAAACGCCGTGTAGCTCGAGCCCCGGATCTGCGATCATCGGCGGTGAGGCCCAAGGCGGGAGGCGGCGGGGGCGGGCCCTCCTCGCGACGAACGGAAAAGCTGCACAGACGTAAACTGTAGGAGCTCCGCGCGGATCGCTTGGGTCGGCGCTGGACCCCCATCTCTGGCTCAGCAGGGGGGAACCGGGTCCTGAGGGAAACGGGTCCTGGACCCTGGGGCCTTTCCCCAGGACGAGGTCTTCATCCCGAGCCGTTGTATGACAGCCCTGGGGCCCGTGGAGGGCCCCGAGAACCCGAAAACACTGAAAACCCTCAGGACCCGTTTCCCTCAGGAGCCGCTTGCCCCATGGCGACTGGCGCGCGGAGCGCGCCAGGGACGGCGCTGGAGGGACCGCCTGAGGAGCCCCGCGCCGATCCAAGAAGTCCGCGCGGAGCTCCTAAAGTTTATGCTTGTGCCGTTTCCCTTCTACGATTCTCACAAGGATCAGAGAGCCTCCAGCCAGAACACGAAAACCGTCCCCGAACTCGCCAACACGAGGAATGCCTACCAATAGGTCGGGCAGGTCTTCCTTCAGGCGGATCTTGAAGGAAATGAACAAATAGTCGAACAAAAATCCAACATGATCAAAACAAACAATCAAACAAACGAAAAATCGTCATCCTATTATTTGTTACTAATATTCAATATTCCTCCTGTGGAGGGACACGCCCGACATAAGCCTACCACGTCGAGCCCTGCTTTGAACCACCGACCTCTGCTCTGCCGCCGCACGACAAGGGCCGCTCGCCCGCCCGCCCAGCCAGCCCCGGCCGCGCGAGGCCAAGGGTCACTGGAAGATGCCCGTGGCTGGTCTGAAGGAATTGGACCGAGGAGGAGGAGGAGGAGGAGGAGGAGGAGGAGGAGGAGGAGGAGGAGGACCCCTTAGGGCGACAGGAACCAGGAACCAGGAGGAGAAGGAGGAGGAGGAGGAGGAGGAGGAGGAGGGCCGCTCAAGCCGACAGGAACCAGGAACCAGGAGGAGTAGGAGGAGGAGGAGGAGGAGGAGGAAGAGAAGTAGCCGTCGTCACGGGCGCTTGAAATTGACGGTGTCGCCTCATGGGGCTGTCGACGCCCCAAGACGGCCCAGGAGGACCCGCAGATCGCGGCGAGAGGGCCCAAGATAGGCAACCACATATGAACCCTACACCCACAGGTCAGATCTCTGGAACGCCAGCTGGGTCTCAGCATTCGAAAGATAGCGGCAGCCAAGCGAAACCCAGCGGGCGTGTGCGATACCCCCTCGTCGATTGAAGCAGCACGGGTAGGAGTCGCAACCCGGGCCCCAAGACGTCGCACGAAGCCTCCAAAACGGCCCAGCAGGACCCGAAAGAGGCCCAAGAGAGGCGCCCCATGCTGCCTCCAGCCACGGCTGCCCCAAATATGCTCCCGTCGCGGAGAAATCCGCCGACCCCGTGGGGTCACGGCGTGTAAGATGCTTCCCCCTCCCCCAACCCCTCCCCCGGAGCCCGGTCCGGCCGGTTTGTGGGGCGGGGGGGGAGCAAAAGTGCCGGCCGCACCCTTGAAGCCTCAGGGGGCCCCATCTCGGGCCAAGAGGACCCCAAAAGGCCCCCTGGACGCTCCAAGAGGGCTACGAGTCGCCGAAAGATCGCTAGAGACACCCAAGATTGCTTCCAGACGGCCCCAGAGGCCCCCAAGACGCCCCAAGAAGCAACCAAGAAGCGTCCCGAGAGGCCATCCAAAAGCAAAAATCGCCCTTTTCCCTAGGGAAACACCTATTTTTAGCACATTCGCCTCTTGGGCTTTCACGAGGCCCACAACGGCCCAAGAAACCTTCAAGATTGCCCCAAGATTCGCCCAAGAGGCCTCCGAGAGGGCTCCAAGACGGCCCCAGAAGCCTCCAAAACGGCCCAGGAGGGCCCAAGGACTGCCCCAAGAGGAGGCCCAGAGGGGGAACCCGAATGGACATTTCGAGCACCCGGCCCCGGAAAAACCTGAGGAGGCGCCACGAGGCCCCCGAGAGGCTCCCGCGAGGCCCCCGAGCGGCCCAAAAGAGGCCCCCAGAGGCCTCAACATGGCTCCCAAGACGCCTCAGAAGTGCTGCCAGTTGAGCCCAGAGAAGCCCAAGAGCAGAGCAGCGATCCACAAACCGCCCCCGACGAAATCCCAAGAAGCTGAAACCCCAAGATTCCACAGAAATCGCGCGCGTTCCGCAAACTCCGTTTTTCACTCTTACCGCCGCCCCAAGGGATCGGCGGTGCGGCGTCAGCCAATGAATCACGACGGAAGCTTTTCAGGCGGTTTCAAAACCTGGTGGCCCTCGCTGGGCCGGGGGGCGGTCCAGAAACGGCTCGGGATGAAAAGCCGGCCCTGGGGCAAGGGTCTGGGCTTCGGTGGGCCGCGCGTTCACAGGATCCTCAAGGCGTCCCGTGTCTGGTGATCGATGATCTGGTAGAGGGAAACAATTAGTGAACACCCCCCCTGCCCCCCAAACTCAAGGTTGGCACGCGCGGGGGAGACTGCGGTCGAGGTGCAACTCATCAGACCCACCGCCAACTTTGAACATTGGGGGGAGGGGGAGGCGTTCACAGATGAATGTGGCATGAGTGTTCGTTATTTTTTTCCGAGGCCTGTCATGACAAGCGAGCAGGCGCCAACGTGTGCGTGTCCGCCGAAAGGCCTTCAGCGAGACGCGGGCGGCGCAACGACGGCCGGCGCGGGCTGCGCGTCATCGGTGGAGAGCTGCGCGGGGCAAGCGCACATTGGGCCAACACGCGTCCTGAAGACCGTCGGCTGGAGGGACAGAAGACGGGATCCGCTGAGGGCCAGGCGAAGTCTGCTGTTCCTCGACTCGCGCTGGGGTCTCCCCAGCATTCTCTGGGCCTCCTCTGGGGATCTCTGGACTGTCCCTGATCTGTCTGGATGCGCCTCGACTTGTGTCGGCTTCCCTCGGCTCATCCAGGTCTTTACACGTAGGTAAAAAACGTTAAGGAGGAAGGCGGATAAAGTAGATTGGGCCCAGGCCCGCCCAGAGAATAACAAAACACAGCAAATTCATACCCAGTATTGAAGTAGGAAGGCGCTTGAAGTAGACTGGGATCTCAGAATCAGAAATACCTACTTACTTTCAGCGACCGACGAGTACCCCCACGAGTCGATGGGACAAGAGTCGCCAAGCCGCTCGGGAAGGCTGGCAATCGGCCTCTGGAAGTCCGCGCGGAACTCTGAAGTCGGCGCCACAAACGCCCCCCCCAACCCGGCCAACGGCCGGGCGGCGCCTCGGACTCTGGGGAGGCGGCGCGGGGAGGGGGGCAGAGGGCGAGAACTCCGCTTGGGCGCGAATCAGCGGGGGGCGATAAACATGGGGGGGGAAAAGGGTGCCCTCTTCGGGCCCTCGAGGCCCCCTCTGGGGCCCCCGAGTGCCCCTTCAGGGGCCCTGAAGGGCCCCTTCTCGGCAGCCCTCGCTGCCCCCCTTCCTTAGCCGCTCCTCGGGGGCGTCCGAGAGGGGAGCGTCCAAGAGTGGGGGGGGGGGGGGCAAGTCATCGAAATGTATACGAGGAGGTGCCAGGCAATCAGAGGAGTTGTCGTGGCCCCCGCCAAGAGATCCACACCCCCTGGACACCACCCCCCTCTGTGCCGCCAGGGCCTTGTTTTGCAGGCGCGGGCGCAGCGCCCCTCGGCGGCCCTCGGGGCCCAGCTGCAGAAAAAGGGCGCGCGAGGGAGCACGAGCCTCTCTCCCGAGGGCAGCCCGTGCCCCTGGGGCACGAGGAGGACGCGAAACGCGAGAAGCCTTGGCTTCGTGTCGGCGGCGAACCCAGGGGGGAGGTGAGAAGGGGCGGGCCTTCTCAGAGGGCTCGGAAGTCCCCCGGCCTTCTGGGAAGTGCTCTGAGCCTTCCACGAAGGCACGGAAAACCTGGCTTCTGAGAAGTCCCGCCTCCCTCTGAGAAGGCCTTCTCCTCCTCACCCCCCCCCCTCGCTCGCCGCCGTTTGTGGGTTCGACCAAGTGGTCAGACCCGACTGTGCTCAGCCGACGCCGATTCGGAGCCGTCGTCGCCGCCCGACCGCCCGCCCGCCGGCCTGCCGCCGCTGCCAGGGTCTCGCGGCACGCTCGGCGTGCGGAAATGTCGCGCGACGAAGGGGGGGGGCCCTGTCTGCAAGAGGAGCGCTTTAGATGCAGAGGGGACATGTGATATACTGAAGGTACACCGTCGAAAAGGATTAACCCATATTTAGCATGTTTGAAGTCATGATTCCATACTTTCTCCTTTTTCCCTCCCTGTCTTCACCCTCCCTGCTCCCCGTCCTCCCACGAGCTCGTCTGTGTTCAAGGGCGACGACAAGGGTGATCGGGGAAGGTGGGGACGTCACGCTCATCACGTCTCGGCGGGGGTGCGCCAGGAGCGCCGCAGCATGCCCGCGAGCACCGCGCTACGCATGCGAGCACCACAACCGAGTGCGCTGCGATCGCCGCGACGTGCCTGAAATCGCCGAGCTGTGTGCAGCACCACTGCTTGCGAGCCACGCTATGTCTGTGAGCACCGGCAACGTATCTGTGGGCGCCACAACGGCCCGCGAGCGAGGCCACGTGCCTGCGAGCACCACACTGCGCTTGCGTCTGGGAGTGCCTAGGAATGCGCAAGGACAGACAGCCTCATGCATGTACGCAGGGACCTGCCAGCCGGCGCAGTGTAGGGATTGCTGACAGTGGCCACGAACAGTGGACGCCTGCGCGCACTGAAAAGAGCGTGTGTGCAATGCGTGCGTACACCACGTATGGCGATGCAGCTGCATGTGTGTACCACAACGCCAGCGTACATCACAGCGCATGTGCTCAAAGCAGTGCCCCTGTACACCACAACGTTTATGTACACAACAGCGAATGTGTACACCACAGCGCCCTTGTGCACGCAGCAGTCTCTGCGCGCACCAACAACTGCGTGTACACCACATTGTGTGTTCACACCACAAACCAAATTGCTGCTACATATGTGTGCACCACTGCGCCGGCGTACATCACAGAGCATGTGACCATAGAAATGCTTTTGTAAACCACAACGTCTGTACAATACAACGAATGTGTACACCACAGCGCCCTTGTACACGCAGCAGGTTCTGCGGGCACCAACTACTGCATGTACACCACAATGCCAGTGTACACCACAGACAGAGATGCTGCAGCATTTGTGTGCACCACAGCGACGGCGTACATCACAGCGCATGTGATCAAGTACATCACAGCGCATGTCATGACGAAAGAGAAGACGAGGTTGAAGAGAAGGAGGAGAAGGAGGAGGAGGAGGAGGAGGACACTGACAGAACTGTGAGGATGGCCGAGAAGGTGGCGGTGGTGGAGAAGGCTCTGCCCCAGGTGACGCTGTCTTCTATGAAGGCCAGTGTTGGATTCACTATGTCGCTCTTCTGGGGCCGCGGCATGTTCAACGTTGTCTCTAGCGCATGTGATCACAGCAATGCTTGTACCACAACGTCTGCGTACACAACAACGATTGTGTACACCACAGCGTCCTTGTGCACGCAGCAGCTTCTGCGTGAACCACGGAGCCCGCGTACAACGCGATGCCTGCGAAACCACAGCAGACGCGTGCACCACAACGCCTGTGTACGACACAAATCCCGTGTACACCTCCAGGGTCACGACGGGGCACCAACTCTGAAAAATCGTGGCGGGCCCGAACTTGTCAAAACCAATATGTAAGTTACTTGCGAAAACTGTGTTTCTGGCCCAGGGTACGATCTACCCTGTATTTTGGGACGGCAATGCCAGCGTGCACCACTGCGCCTGTGTACATCACGACGTCTGTGCAACCAGAGCAGCCGCGTGCACCACAGCGCCTGGCGCCTGCGTGCACCACGGTGCCTGTATACCACATAGCCTGTGCACACCCCCGGGGCCCCGACGGAGCCAAACCTATCAGATAGACTATGTATGATTATTGATGTTTCCAGCCCTGGTTACTGTCCACCCTTGCACTTTGGGCCCGCATTGATCGTGCACCACAGCACCACCAAAGTACAGCACGATGCTTGCGCCACCACAGCAGTCGCGTATTCTGGGCCCGCCGTGCCTGCGTGCACTACAGCGCCTGACGCCTGCGACCACCACGGGGCCCAAATTCCGAAAAATCCGCCGACCCTGTCGGCGTGTGCGAGGGGCTTGGCTGTTGGAGTCGTCGTCTCCGTCGGTCGTCGCCTCCGTCGTCCCCTTTCCCTGCAGCTTCCTCCTCAAGCTCGTGAGCGAGAGAAAAATCGAGCAGTGTCGTAATCGAGACGACCTTCGATCCCTTCCCCAGGGGGGGGGGGGGGCGGCGGTCCCGGGGGGGGTGGAGGGGGGGGTCCCGGGAGGGGTGGAGGGGGGGGTGGGGGGGCAGATTCGTTTTTCCTCGGGCGGCCTAGAAACCTCGAAAACACTCCAATGAGGTCCGAATGCCCCAGATGGCCCCCGAGACGGCCCAAGAGGGCCCCGAGTCGCCCAAAGATCGGCCGAAAACGCCCAAGATAGCCCCAAGACCGTCCAAGAAGCCTCCAAGACGTCCCAGGCCCCCTCCAAGAGACCCCCAGGAAGCCCCAAGAGGCCCCCACGAGGCTTCCAAGCGGCCCCTAAGAGCTTCCCAAGAGGCCCACAAACTACCCCCAAGAGGCCCCCAAGAGCGCTCGCCGTCGTCGTCGTCGTCGTCGTCGTCGTCGTCGTCGCCATTCAGGGTCGGCGGCACCGGCCGTAAGGCCCTCGCAATCTTGGGTGGCCCTGGGGCACGATTCACCCTGCAGTTTCGGCTGGCAGTGCCTGCGTACACCACAGCGCTTGTGAACACGACACCGCTTGCAGAGCCTGTACACACCACATCGCTGGCAGCTACGAGCGCCGCGCTACGAGGGCCACATCCATGCCTCTGAGCTACAAAGCAACACTGTGTCCCTGAGAGCACCACCAACGAGCGAGCGCCGCGTTACCTCGCGAATGCCAAAGCATGCCTGTGCACCACTGCATGCCTGTGAACACCACAATGGCCTGCGAGCGCCACAAAACGCCCGTGGTCGCCACGGGACGACCGGCATGGCGTGACCTGGGGGGGGGCAGCGCCGATCACGCCCGGTGTCGCCAAGAGGAAGGAATAACCACCAGCAAAAACGGGTTCCACTCCGTCCGTCCCCCAACTCACCCAGACTCTGCCCCTCTTGATCTTCGGGGGCGTCCGAGCGGGGGGCGTCCAAGGGGGAGGGGGGGCGGCGCCAAAATCATGGTCTGAGGCACGCGCGCGGCCCAGATGGGGACGCCAAACGACGCAATGAGATAGGAGAAGAAGGGGGCCGTGGAAAATGGGGAGACATCGTAGTCCCTGCCCCACCTCACCCCTAGTCATCGCCCCCCTCTTGGCCGCACCCTGCAGTTGAGACAGCGGTGGATCTCCCGAGCGGCCCAGGTCCGCTCTAGATCGGCCCGTGCCCTTGCCAGGGTACGTCCTGAGCAGTTTGTCGGGGCGGATCTGGCCATGGCGACGAGAAGCCTCCACGAAACCCGAAAAAACGAAAAACGAACAGGAGGGCCGCCGTTGTCTCAGCTGGCCGTCCTCCGATGTCAACGACTCCTCCCAATCATCACACCCGTCCTGGCCGCCCCCGAAATCCTCCCCTTGCCCCGCGCGGCGGCGAAGGCGGGCGCCTCGACCACCTTCCGGTCTTCTCGCCGCACCCTGGCGGTGGCGGGCGGGCCGCGGCCGTGACAAAGAGGCCACAGGAAGAACAGAACGTCAGAGCCGCTCGCCGTCGCCGCCGCTGGCGGCGACGACGACGGCGGCCTCGACAGCGTCGGCGGCAACTGGCCGCCATTGACGTCGACGTCGACGTCGACGGCGGCCCAGACAGCGTCGGCGGGTTATGGCCGTTTTCTCGACGACGTCGCCGCCGCCGGTGACCAGGACGACAACCACGACAGCGTCGACGGCGGCGGCGACGGCGGCCGCGTCGGCGGCGTCGACAACGGAGGTCTTGACGAAGCCTTTTTTTTTGAGGGTCGCGCGCAAATCGCCCGGTCAGTCCTCCCTCATATCGTCCTCCTTATGGGCCCCGCGTTTTGATCCAGGCCACGCACACTCGCTGGTGCATCGTGCAATCATTGTGCGACTAAAAAGACTGAATAAGAAACGACGGGACGGGCAGCTAGCCAGCCTGCCCAAGACCATCTGCTTGCTTGGTTCGGTGCCAGGGTTCCTTTGCAGCTAAAGGGCCCGAACCCAAGCTTGGAAACTGGCTACAGCTTCACAAATCGAGGGCAGGTGGTTTTCAAAATGTGGTTCTCGCATTAGCGCCGCGAACACTCCTGTTAAAATGTGCAGGAGCTTCACGCATTCAGGGCGAGTGGTGTTCAAAATGCGGCTCTCGCATGAGAGCCGCCTAACTTCTTTACTCCAAAAATCAGACAATCTTCCGGGATTGAAGGCGGGTCGTTTTCAAAATGTGGTTTTCGCCCTAGCGCCGCACAAAATTGAGGGCGGGTCGATTTCGGAATGTGACTCTTGCCTTAACGCCGCGCACATTATTTGTTTAAGTTTCGCGTATCCACGGCAGCTCTTTTCCAAAACGCGGCTCTGGCCTCAGCGCCGCGCACATTCGCTTCAAAGTGGTAAACGTGACAGCACATATGCCCTGAGCACCCCGCTCACCCGTCGCCGGGCTGCGCTCGCAACCACAGCGCCGCGCTCGCGTCGAAGCCTGCGCCGCGCCCGCCAGCGCGGGCGTCGCGCCAAGAGGGCTCGGGCGCCTCGGGCGGCCTCGGCGCCGGTCGCAGCGCGACGCGGCAACGGGCGAAGACGGGGCGGGCGCGGGCGGGCAAAATCCCCAGCGCGGGGTGCACGCCCCCCGTCCTGCCGAAAAACCCGCGAAACCCCGCAGCGCCGCGGCGGGCGCGGGCGCCACGCGGAAGGGCGCGGACCTGCACGCATCGCCTGCGGCTCGCCACGACGCGCGCGGACAGCGCGGCGACGCGGCGCCATTCGCTCCCGCGTCCGCCGCGCACCCCGGGGGCAAGCGAACGCGCGCGATGCGACGAAGCTCCAACACCGTTCCACGCGCGCCCCCCCCCCCCAACAAAAAAAAAAAACTGAGCACCCCGCTGACCCGTCGCTGGGTCGCGCTCGCAACTACACAGCGGGGGCGCGCGCCAAAGCCTGCGACGCGACCCGCGGCGCGGGCGCCGCGCCAGGAGGGCGCGGGCGCCTCGGGCGGCCTCGGCGCCGGTCGCAGCGCGACCCAATGCAATGACGCGGCCAGCGACGGGCGCCACCCGCCCGCTGCGCGCGCGGCGCACGGCGCTCGGGCGCACGGACGGCGGTCGCAGTTGTTCGAAACGCCAGATCTGCTGCGCGAGCTGTCCGAGCTGTCGGACGCGGCGGCGCGCGCGGCCGCCGCGCGCGCGCGCGCCCGGCCCGACCGCGGCGACGCTGGCGAGGCAGGCGTCTGACGCCCAGCCCCTCTGCCACTTTGTCGCGGCAGTTGGCGCGCACACGTAGCCGACGCGTCGGCGAGACACACGGCCCCGCGGCGCGCGTGCACTGCCGCCGCGTCGCAGAATACCTCGGGCGAAATCCAGACATGGCGCAACAGCGAGCGACATCGCGCCAGACGCCCGCCCGCCAGCTGATTGGCGACTGCGCCGAGGGGCGCGCGGAGCATAGACTGCGCCGAACAGGGCGCGCGCACGCGCGGCCCGAATTGCCACCGTGGACCCCGCGCTTCCGAAGGCACGCTCGCGCGCGCACACCGATAAAACGACGCGCGTTCTCGGCGCGCCCACGGCGGAAAGCCCGCGCTATCTGCGCGCGAACACGTTTGGCGCACAGCTGCTCGAACGCCGCCCGCCCCTCGCGGCCGGGAAGGTCGGCTAGATTCTTGGCTGAACCAACGCGTTCAATCCAAGCGCGACCCATTCGCGGCACAGAGGTCGCACTCGCTCGCGGCGGCGCCCCAGCGCGGCCGTGCCTGCAGCGCATCACCGCGGACCAAGACTGGCGCACCAAGCGGTTGTGACCACGGGCTCTGGCAGAATCTTTCCGGGGGGTGCACCCTGCAACCGAGTTGCCCGGGAAGAATGCAAGTCGGCGCCCTCGCAGCATGTGCGCCCACATAGTCCGCGCCGCGCGCGGTGCCGGCATTTTCGGAGCCGCGATCTGGCGGTCGCCCCAGCACGGCAATCCGCCGCGCCGACGCGAGACGCGCGCGCCGAACTCTCGCCGCGGGCCAGCGGGAAGGTGCCTGAGAAACCCAACGGGGGGGGCCATCTCGGCCCACCCGAATGCGTCGTCGGCAAATAGAATCGCCGCCAGCCGCGGCGGGCGGCCGCGGGCATTCGCCAGCACGAGCGCGGGCGGGCGCTCGTCGTCGCACGTCCAAGGCCGCGCGCGAGCGACGCCCCGCGCCAGCAGGCCCCATCCACCAGCGCGGCGCGAGCCCCGCGCGGCCAGCGAGGCGGGGCGAGGCGCTGAACGCGCGGTCGAAGAGCGGCCGTGCCACTGAACGATCTGCGCGTTCGAACACGTGGAAGGACGCCCACTACAGGCGCCCTTCCATATTTGACGCCTCCCCCGCTGCGATCGCACCCCACAACAGAACGCCTTTGATGACGTTGGCCCAGTCTGGCCCCGTCGCCGCCCGGCTCCGCGCGGAAGCCCGACTCCGGAGCCCGCGCCTGCAGCCCAAGAATCAACGGGCGGGCCCCATGCCACCTCGCGGTCCAGCGCGGCGCTGGGCCCCAAGGCGGCGCGCGCCAGCCCCGCGAAACAATGGCCCGCTCGCTCCGCGAATCCCTGAAGATAATCGTCGACGCAGCGCAATACTGGCAGCCACAACAGTTCACACACCGCGGCCGCCAGGAACGAGCCCACGCGCTCCAGGCCGCGAACGCTGGCCAAGCCGCCGAACGGCAGCGCGACGCGCTGAGCGGCAGGGACACGACCGTTCAATCGGTACGTCACCCAAGCGAAAGCGCGACGCCCAGGCTGGACCGCCACCCGCCGGAAGGCCGCGCCCACGTCAGCTCCCCAGAACTCGATTTCGACTGGAACCTGCGCACGCGGGGAAACGACGCCTTGCGGCACGCGGGCGACCGCGCTCGCGGTGCCTCCTCGTGAAAAGCCTGCGCTGGCACGCACAACTGACCGATGGTGTCGCGACGCCATTTCCCCTCCACAACTGGAGGCACCGTTGACGCCAGCGCGGGCATAATCCTCCATGCTCCGCACCTGCGCCGCACTGCGCCATACTGACCAACGCCGCCGCGCGCGTCGCGATCGCCTTCGCAGGGCCGCCCGGCTCGCGCCCCTGCCCCACTGAGAAGCGAAGCGCCAGATTCTCATCATGCAGCGCCAAACTGTCAACAGGCACCGGCTGCGTCATCCACCCACATGCGGCGTCGGTTACCGCGCCAGCACGCAGCTCGGCGGCGTGGGCGTCGTCGCGGAGGCTTGCGATTAGCGCCGCATTCTGCACTTCCGCGCGGCCGGGCAAGTCGCCCACGGGCTCGCGCCCCTCGCGCGCCACGCGACGCCCAGCGACGCCGGAGGCGGGCAGCGCGCTCACGAACGGCGCCCCCTCGCGAAGCAGGCGCTCGACGCCGTCGGCCCAACCGAGCTCGGCCGCAACGGCGCCAACGGTCGGCCCGTCGACCACGGAGAGGGCCCGCCCAGGCCGGCTCTGGCAGCAGCGCCCACGCCGTCGAGCCAGCGCTGCTGGGCCCCCGAGCGCCGCGACTCGTGAGACTGCGCATCAACGGCTGCGATCACGGCCTCTCTCTCATCGAGGATCTGCCGCGCGGCGCGCGCGCGAGCCAGCGCGCGCGGATCGCACTGCGCACGCGCCTGCTGACAGCGCCGCGATTTGGCCCAATCGACGCAGGCGCGGAGCTCGTCGGGGAGGGGCGGGTCATCCGAAAAGAACGCCGTGCAATCTACCGCAGCGCAGATAACGAAGTCGAGCTTCGCTTTGTGCTCCCCCAGCGACGCGGCGCACCCCCGGCGGGGCGCGCGCGCTCGCGGCGGCCGCGCCTCGGCGCGGGACGCCAATTCTGTGAAACGCGGGAGCCACTGGCTCGCCGCATTCATTGCGCTAACTGCGTCGGACTTGGCAAACGCGCGCTTGCCGCACGCCGCGGGCGCGTCGTCGCGAGGGGGCCACGTGCCTGCCGCGCGCAAGTTACACTCGCGAGGGCGCTGCCAGGCCCGACAGACACGCGCGAGGTCCGCGGAGCCTCGCGCAAGCGCGATAGGCGTTGCGCAGCCGGTGCCGCGTGGACTGGCAACGCCGTCAATGGCAACGCACTGTCGCCTTTCAATCGTCGAGGCGGACTCAGCGGACGACTTCACTGAGGCCGATCTGCCTGAGCGTGCAGCCCACGCGCGCGCGGCTTGCCAAACCCCCCGACGCTCGGCGCGCGCGGCTGCGGCGCGCCCGTCCCGGCATCGCACTGGCCCTTACCCTTGGCCGCGCCCCGAGGCCCCCAAGACTGGCCCCCATCTTTGGCGGCGCTCGCTGAAAAGAACTTGGCCTTCCCCCTGTCCGCTCGGTCAGCCTGGAAACTGCCTTTGGAGCTCCCCTTCTGCTGACGCTCCGACAGGTTGGGAAAGCCGCGCGCTGAGTATTCGCCCCCAGCGCGCACCCACAGGCTCTGCACTTGTTGCCACGCGGCGCGATCGACGTCAAAGAAACTGGCGCCCGCTGGCGCCGTCGGACCACTCCCGCCGGGCCAGGTCGTCGTACACGATCGCCAGTGCTGCGGTCTCGTGCACCCCTCGTGCCTGGCCGCCAAGCGCGCGAGCAAATGCCGGCGGCGGCTGCGCGGAGAAGGACGCCTGAAGCGCAATCTGCATGACGACGTCTGTGTGCGGCATTGCTGCCACCAGGCTAGATCTGGCCCGTGAAAGACTCGGCCAAGGTCCACCTGTCGCACGCAGCAGTCCACGCCGTGAGCGAGATGCATGACGATTAGGCTGCGCTGCGTGGAATCGCGCGCGAAAGTGGCGCAGGCCACCGAAAAAGTCGTGGTGGAAGTCGAGAGGTCGGAGAATCACCTGTGGGAACTTGGGATGAGGGAGTCCCCGGAATGGAGTGCAACAAGTGAAGGGTAAGGGCATGGGAAATTGGACTGTAAGATGGGATGAAAGGGAGTCGTGGCCGCCGATGGGTCGGCACACTGCCACTGACACGACTCAATCGCTTGGCGGTCTATAGCTCTCCTCCTCCTCCTCCTACTCCTCCTCCTCCCTCCCTGCCTCCCTCCCTCCCTCCCTCCCCCCCCTCCCTCCCCCTCCCTCCCTCCCTCCCTCCCCCTCCCTCCCTCCCCTCCCTCCTCCTCCTCCTCCTCCTCCTCCTCCTCCTCCTCCTCCTCCTCCTCCTCCTCCTCCTCCTCCTCCTCCTCCTCCTCCTCCTCCTCCTCCTCCTCCTCCTCCTCCTCCTCCTCCTCCTCCTCCTCCTCCTCCTCCTCCTCCTCCTCCTCCTCCTCCTCCTCCTCCTCCTCCTCCTCCTCCTCCTCCTCCTCCTCCTCCTCCACCGTGCTCCCGCCTTGCAGGCGGCTGAAATCTCTGCGCGGGGGCTCCGCAAGCTGGCGGTGATGACTGACCCCGTCCTCAGGAGTGACTCGCACCGATGGGGTGGCTCGGGGCCCTGTCTTCACGGGAACGCCGCGCCGCTGCGGAGGTGGCTGCGGGCCTTCTCCGATGCATGCGTTGACTGAGCCTCGGGGCTACAATCGGACCCACGCCTGAAGAACTCCCCTCAAGAGCATGAGACCCTCCGCCGGCCCACGATGCAAGAGAGCATCCAACAAACACGAAGAACGTCAGGGTACCCTCCCCGAACCGACCTCAATCGTGTACCTCGGCCCAACTACAACAGACCAGACCAAGGCAGTCCTCCTCCTCGTCCTCGCCTCCTCCTCCTCCTCCCCCTCCTCCTCCCCCTCCTCCACCCTCCTCCTCCCCGGGGCCGCAGCAGAAGCGAGGCCGGGAGGGGGCGCCCGAGGCCGCGCGCGCGGACGGGCCTGGGCAGGGCGTCGAGGACCCGCGGCTCCTGGCCGGGCGGGGGGGAGCACAGGCTCGCCATCGCTCGGACGCCCACTCCTCGTGCCTGTTTCGGTTGTGTGCGTGTTTTCTTGTTCGCAGGGTGATCTCTGGGAGGCTCCTCGACGGTCCTCGCGGGGAAAAAAAAATACGCACGTCCGAGCGGTGCCGGGGAGAAGGCGGGAGGAGGCAGAGAGGCAGGAGGGACTCTGCGGGCTCTGCCGGGCACCTCCCGAGGGCCAAGCGTGCTCGGAATCGCAAGCCAAGCTGCGCATTGCTACATACATATATATATATATACTAGAACCATCGCGCGCGCTTCGCGCGCGCTCAAGTTCTAGCTAGGCTTGATAGGCTAACTCATGTGATTTCATGTTGGTCGCTTCTTGAGTCCAGGGACTCCCTTGAAGGCCCTGCGCAAGCCTCGGAATCGTATAGAAGGGGAAGTGAGGAAACGCAGAAATCATTAATTTCCTTTTGGTTTTCAACGATTTGGGGCCCTCAAAGGCTTCCTGGATTCTTTTGGGGGACGTGAGGGGGGTCTGAATTGTGGTCTCTTATGCAAGAGTAGACCGGGGGCCATGTTTTCCAGTTCCTCGGCGCTGTTCGGCACTGTTTTTTGTTTGTGCATCGCAGGTTTTGTTAGCCGGGCCCCTGAGGGGTGTGGGATCTTCTGGACCCCCTGGGGGTTCTGGAGGCCTCCTGGAGGCCTGGAGAACCGTCGGAAGGGTGTCTCGTGCTGCGCGGGAGCGTGTTGGGCCGTTCTTTACGTTCTGGGGGCTCCTTGGGGTCGTCTTGGGCTGTCCTTGGGCGTCTTGGGGGCCCCCTGGAAGCCAGGAGGCGCGGTACCGGCCAGATATCAGGGGACGCGTGGGAGCTCCGAATAGGAGTCCCACTTTGACAAAAACAACAACAAAAAAAAATTCTGGGAGTTCCCTTTTTTCCCAAAATCCTCGATCTTCGAGGGTTGGAAGCGGAAAAACGTGAGAAAGCGAAAAACAGTTTAAAAACCATTGGAAATCAACGATTTTACCCTCTTTGGGCTCTCTCGGGACAGCTCTCGCAGCTCTTTTGAGCTGTTCTTGGAGAGGACGAGGACCGAGGAGGACGAGAGGGAGAGGAGGACGACGAGGAGGTGGAGAGGAGGACGAGGACGAGGGGGAGAGGAGGACAGAGGAGGACAAGGACGCCAGGGGAGAGGAGGACGCCGACGACCGAGAAAATGCCCCGCCCACTCCTCGAGGCCGAGCGCCTCCCTGGAGCGCTGCAGGGGCGCTCTCAGCACCTGGCCGCCGCGGGCGCGCACGCGCGCAAGCGAAGAAAACCCCGCCCCATGACAGTCGCCACGAGAAAGGAGGGGGAGTTGGAGGAGGGCCTGCCCCCAGACGGTGTGGTGACCACACCGTGTGGTAGGTCGGCGGGGATTCGGGGTCACCGCACGGTCTTAGGACTCGAGACCCTCCCCGAGGATGTCTCGGGCGACGGGGGCCTCCAGGGTCCCAAGACCGTGCGGTGACGGACCGTGCGGCGAGGTCTCCTGGGGTGCCGAGGTCACCGCACGGTCTACCACCGCACCTCGAGGAGGAGGAGGAGGAGGAGGAGGAGGGAGGGAGGAGGGAGGAGGGAGGAGGAGGAGGAGGAGGGCCATTCGAGACAACGGCGGCCCTCCCTGGTGTTTACACGCCTCTGGGGCCTCCCGGAGGCTTCTCGTCGCCAGGACCAGATCCGCCACGAAAGACAAGCCACTATCGGCCCCACGAGGGGTGTCCGGGGGCCGATGCTGAGCGGAGTCGGGCCCGAGGATGTGGGATCGAGGGAGGGGGAGAGGGAAAGGGGGGAGGAGGGAAGAGCGGAGAAGGGACAGGGAGAGGGGAAAGGGGGGGAGGGCGAGGGAGAGCGGAGGGAGAGGGGGGGAAGAGCGGAGGGGAAGGGAAGAGCGGGGGAGGAGGGAGGAGCGGAGGGAGAGGGGGAAGGCGGGGGAGAGGGAACAGGGATGCATGGATGGCGGCCACTGTGGGCGGCGAGCGCGCGCTGCGGGGACACCAGCCAAGAGGCCTGCCGGGTGGAGAGCCCTCCTCGGCATGACCCTGTCCTGCCTCCGCGCCCAGTCCCCCTCAGAAGCAGCTCAGATGAAGGGGAGGAAACCGACTGCTCCAGCTGTCTCCTGCAGCTGGAGGCCAGACGAGTAAATCGAAGAGGGGGGTCACCCAAACACCAGAGAGGTCCCAGGCGGGCCACGCACGGATGCAAGGAAGGAGCTCTACACGGATCCGCCCCAAAATCGCCCATCCGCGCAGCTGTTACACGTGTTCAAGCTTATGGCCTTTATGTTACTGACGCTTCGCGTTTCCCCACCAACCATGACAAGAGCACATGACGAATGACCGTAGCAACGCTGGGCGATCAGGCAAGGGACACGACCGAGACGCCCCTGACGCACGAAGCGGCAAACAGGGCAAGCGCAGCTACGACTGGGATGGTCCCCTCTCAGAAAAGAGACATCGTCCCGACCGCCCCCCTCATCCTCCCTACCCTGGGCGCGCACAGCGAATCCCGCCCCTGCGCGCGACGCGCCTCGCGCT